GTAGAAAAGCGATACAAAAACCACATAGTGATAAATATTAAATTATTTATAAATTTTTGTTTATACTTTTTTGATTAGTATTATGCATTATGAATTGCTATGGTATTTTACCATGCCTTAGCGTTGTTGATAAAATTGCTTTAGAACTTATAATTACAAATAATATTTCAAACAAATTATCCAGTGTTCAATTATAATGCTAATTTAAAGATATTCTTCGGTTTAACTAGTGATAATTTAACCTAGCAACTTGTCTATTTAGTTAAAATCATATCAATTGGTAAAGATATTTTTTACCACCGTTGATTTTCTACATCATATTGACAATTGTCAAGTATTAGTACACAATGTATGGTCTAATATATCTCATACAATTGCATTCGTTTTACTCGTATTGTACAGAGTCTGATGACTGTTGATGTAATTAAGCACGAGAGCCCAAATGAATGCTTTATTGTGTGTATTTACTATGGGTTTTACACTTGCGTTTTGTTCCGTATATTGCATTTGCTTTCTAGGTTTAACCAGATAGGTTCTCTATCTTTTGTAGTGAATCATGAATGTTTACTCACATTGGTCTAATTTATTTAAAAGTGCTGATTCAGTTTACAAAAAAATATTTTGTCGATTAGGAGATAAACAAAAAAATCATTGATGAAGTAAAAGTTACTATAGTGGTGAAAGTTTGAATTCTTATCAAACCTTTTACATACACTTCATGTTCAGTTTTGTTATTACTTCAATGATGTTGATGTAAATTCTTATTATTTAATACTTTAACATGACAAGTACTATATAGATTTTTTTCTCATAATTAATAATTTTATCATAAATTCCGAGTTGTTTGAAGTTTCCCATAAACTCTCAATTTTTTATGCAGATCATTATTAAACTAGATGCAGTTCAATTTTATTATTAGACAAATTTTTAAAGCTTTGAATTATTTGTTGCACATAATCGCACACAATCTTATAAAATTCCTGTATTAATCTTATGTGAAAAATCTAATTTAATAATAGTCGGTCTTAGAATCCAATCAGAATACCATACCTCATATGAATCGCAGCGCTCATTCTTATATTTTACTAATAATTTATATTTGGAAAGTACCACAATACAATTGTTTATGCCATACTCATGTCGTGTATGAAATATATATTATTTATTCAGGGCCTGTATGTATTATCCAAATGACAGACATGCACATCCAAATCAGGAGTGATTGTTCTGTTTCAACATTGTTTTGTCGTGCCGTGTATGAGATATATTCGCCAGCGTTTATAAACGAAAGCTTGGTATATTTTACTCATCGAAAACAATAATAATAAAAATTAATAATGTTTTTATTCAAGCGACTATTGTCTTTCAGTAGTTGAAGGTAAAACTTCAACAACATCTGCCCATGACTTTTTGTTGACTATAAACAATGAAATATTGAATTTGAATATTTTTATGTATAATATAAAACAAAAAAACAAAAACAGAAACAAAAACAAAAACAAAAACAAAACAATAATAACAAAACAAAAGTAAAGAAAAGAATTTTTTTACAAAAGTGGGTAATTTGCACCTTAGTCTGGTGCTAGCTTTACGCTTTGCTGGTTAAATTGTTTGAATGAACGTTATTTCTACTTTTGTGACTGAAAATTTAGAAAATATACTGATGACAAGTATATCTATTATTTTTGAGTAAAAAGATATGCTTTGCGATTTCCTGTTCAAATTGTTATATTTAGAACCGTATTTAGTGTTTATTAAACCAAGAGTTTTTTTTACGTAGAGTAGATCTTTTTGAAGAGTCCTCAAAGGAGCTTCCGTGTTTTTATTAAATTGTACTTCCTCGCTCTTGGGTTATTTTGCTATAAATAATACATATGTTTATATTCAAATTGTGAGTAAATTTACAATCAGCCGACAGTCTATTAGTTGTGAGGATGATAAAACAGAATATTACGTCATTTCCCGTGGGCAGTTACTGCGCTCGTCTTTCGCCTCAGGCAAACAGTGGACTAAATCATGACATGATGACCCTCCAGTTAATAATTGATAAATGCCAATATTCTTGGTTCAAAAATCACTATATTTTTAAATGCATTTTTATGCACTTTTGATTAAATTTCCATACATTTGCTTAAAATATTTGTAGCAGTATATCTAAAAAATCACCATTGTGGTACAGTATTCTCATCTATAAAATGAACTGCCTACTTCAGCTGTTTTTTTAAAAAAAAGATTATCTTACAATTTTTCCACATGTCCTGAATGAATACGAGTAAAACTGTAGGATTAAAAAAAACTAAATAGGTGTTTAAGTAATAAAACTTGATAAAAGATTAGTGAGATAATTTCATATAAGAATATAAAGTAAATCATCATCTACTGTATGAAGTTATATTTTCTATAGTTTTTCTCCAAGTATTCTAATTTTGTTTAATACCATAATTTTTTAATAATACAATAATTAGTAGTATTTTGTTATTTCATATAATTGTTTTTGATTTGGGGAATAGGGATAATGACCGCGGTTATTATCTATATTGCATATGATGTTTTATCAAAATTACTGCTCGCATTGCATCATTATATATCTAAGCAGTTTATTATAAGCAATTAGTTTACTTTTTGATTCATATAAACGTCGTATAAATAGATTAAACGAACGGCTTATATAAATATTCTTGAACTGTACTTCACGGACCTGCTTTTCGTTAAGGAGTTCGGTAAATATTTAGTCTTGTGTTGAAATTTCGGCAGCAAAGCGGTCGCAGTCAAATATAAAATGCTAATTTTATTTATCTAGTCAATCACATTGGCGACATTATATGAAATTTACTTAGAAAAACATAATGCACTTATAAATTAAAAAAAAATATATATAACCAAAAATTTAAATTTAATTTTATTCATTTAAAGGGCTTTAAAGCTAATATCACAAATTTATTATTTTTCTCTTTATGATTTTATACATTGCACTTTAGTTTATATATGCATTCTTGAATGTGGGAATTCCAATTCAACTGGGAATGCCCAAGAAGGGAATGCAATAATTTTAGAATGATGAATCTAATAGGAATCCTTCGTGTGTGTGATAACCGGCTTTACAATTGATGGTTGTGTCTTTAGATTGGGTTTCTGGTTTCTACAATTTCCTTTTTGCTGATTCATAATGGAAATACTGTAAATTTTATATCATGGTGATTATGTTTCTCTAAATAGGAAATTGCGATGTCAAATAATTGACTTCTCGAAGGAGAAGTTTATGTTTTCATCAAAAAATTCGATTCGCTAATTTTATGTTTTCTCGACGTTTCAAGCCATTCTGAATCGAATGAGACCAAATTTGGAAAAAGTATGTGTGTGTGTATGTGAATAGATTTTTTGCTGTAAATCGACGTTTTCTCAAAAACGGCTGGTCTGATTTCATAAATCTAAAAGCCATTCGATGTATCTCGATAAGCACTATCATTTGCCATTTTTGCGCTACGATCTGCCGAGCCGTTTCTTAGATTTAAAATTAGACCTTTCTAAATTAGACGATTTACTTGGTATAACGATAGAGTACTTGGTCTTAATGAACATACTAAACCATTAAAGTCCTACGGAAACTGGTTCAGTTATAAAAATTGTTGATTTTTGAAAAATTGATTTTAGAGAATATTCCGAGTTAACGTGTTTGTTCTTTTCCATACTTTAATCACTCATAAATTAATTAATTTTTTATTGATTAAGTCGATTATTTACACATATCGGGAAGTTCATGTAACTTGCCACAAGGCAAAATACCAATACCAACTAGTTATTTTATTTTGTTATAAGTTTGATAAAATATTCATGATATTTACTAGCAACTTATAGAAAGTGCACTTACATGCGTGTATTAGTTTTTAAAATAAAAATAGTCTTTTTCAGCATTGCCGCTTCTAATGAAAAATCATCAGTATAAGAGAAATTTTAATAATTAATTATAACAAATATAGTTCAATTGCTGGGTTCTTTTATAAATAAAGTATTTTTAAATAAGTAGATCATAGGAGTCTAAAGTTTTGATTGCTGTTCCAGAGAAAAAACCACATTCTCATTAGTACTTACAATTAGTTCTAAAAGACTTCAGGAAGTTTTTGTCAATATTGAGAACAAATTTTATATTATAATATTTCTTTTTATATTTATATATGTTGTTTTTCCATTATTTCACTTTGTTTGCCTTTTACTTACTTTTTCTTTCATTTTTTCGTTCACTTACCAAGCACCCTTGATATACAGAATCATTCAAAGGTATAAATTTTTTCGGCATCATTATGGGAGAAAAATGCACCTCTTTTTTGATAGAGGAGTTGCAGATGGGTTTTTCATGCATCTCGGGATTTCGTTGGATCAGGTTTACTTTACATTGTAATGATATATGACTCTCTAAGGAGTGAAAGGAAGGAATATCGTGCGTGATCAGAAAATTGATGAATTGCCTTATAGTATGTATCATGTCGATTGAAGTAATTTTTTATTAGCCTTTTTTACTTCAAATTTAAATGCAAACCACTTGAATGATAATTTGAATAAAACCACTTGATATTATTAAAAAAAAATCCACATTTATATGAAATAGGTAATGAATAGGTATGTATGATATATACCAGATGTTCTTTACAATATAATTTTATATAACGCAAATTTCTGAATACCGGGTATTTAACCAATTTTAATTCTATTATACAATTCTCAGGTATTTTAATTTTTAAAATTATTTGATTTCCAGGTAATCAACGTGGATGATCTTCTAGCATGCCATGAAGATTTCGTAGAAGCAACTTTAAAGAATTGTATGATCACAGACACGGCGCTTTTGAGGATTATTTCTCGATTGTGTGCAGTTTGCATCGAGTTTTGCGATTTTATGCAGGTAATAATAATAACTTATTTATTCGATTTTAAATTTGATTGATTACCTGAAAAAAATCTCTATAATGGGATGGTAAAATGATTCAGAACTTTTAGACTTTGATAAATTGAAAACCAATTTTACAAAATCTTACTTATAATTAGATACAATATTCTAGTACCCAATTGGTCATGATAGAATTATTCAAAAAAAAAAAAATATACTTGAGATTTTATAATGAAACATAATATGAACTGGCAATATTTTGTATATTGCTAAATATTTTTTATTTCAATCAACATAGTTTACTCTATTATTTGGCTCAAATAATCTTAAAAATGTCACAATATACCGTAGATTTTTTGAGCCTAATAATAAAATAATATTAATTAATTAATATTATTTGAAGAATATTTGATAGATCATTGTCATCATATGACATAATCACAAAAATACATTACCAAAGAGTACTTCACGCTTTTCTGAGTAAATAGATGTGAGATCATTTTATGCAATTTCATTAGCACTTCTAATATAATTAGAAGCTTAAATATTTAATTACTTATTAGAACATACATTGACAATAATGGTCGATGTTTTTTTAGTCTATAATATCTTTTTACTCTACTTCAATTTTAAATGTAGTATTACAAATAATATTAAATATTTTTCAAACAATAGCATTATACTGGGTATATATATATTAGGGTGGTCCTTAATATGGACATTTTGGAATTTCTTTGTTACAAGGCCTCAATTGTTTCCAAATTGATAAAAAAAAATCTCTAATAGTTTTAGCTCCTAATATTAACTTTTAGATAGTGCGCAATTCAATCAAAGTTTTGTATGGAATTAGCATGGCAAAAAATTCAAAAAATTTTAAAATGTTTTCACATATAACTTAGCGAACAAATAAATGAGTTTTATTGAAAATTCGACGCTCTACAAAACAAAATATAAGAAACCTGTTTTGCAGAGCGTGAAATGACACGAATTGCCACTTTTAATTCACTTGTCGCTAATAAGTTATACCTAAAAAACATTTTTAAAATTTTCAAAATTTTTCCCATGCTAATTCCATACGAAATTTTGATTGAATTGCGCACTATCTAAAAATTAATATTAAAATCTAAACTTTTAGAGATTTTTTTTATCAATTAGGAAGTATTTTGGGCCCCTGGGAGCAAGAAAATTCAAAGATGTCCATATTAAGGACCACCCTAATATACATCTACAATTTATATTATAAATCACTTTCATCCAATATGCCAAATTATATTTTTATTTTTATAAATTTTAAAGGAGCAATGTGCTTACGTTGCTTTATGTACATCAAGCATTTTGGTCACAATTTTGCAGCTATATTAATTATATAAATATTATATTTATATAAAAATATTATATTTATATTTTGTATTTTATGAGGCACTTTTGCGTTCCCAGGTAAGTTTTGAATGTAGACTGATATTTTAATAATTTTTTCTACCGTAATAATTACTATATGAGGTTTTTACCTTATACCTTACCGTTTACATGGTAGTGCTGATTTTGAACGATTTTCGAAAAATCTTTTACTTTTCGTGGATAAGGATGTGTAAACGATTTTGTGACTATTATTATCGATATGGGGTTGATTTAATAATGATGCAGGAAATGCGCCAGTATTATGTGGATGCAGAATTGACTTCAATGTTGACCACCTCTGTTTGCTCGATGTCCGACAGTATCACCGACAATTCAATGTGCTCCTCTACAGGGTACTTTAGTACCCTAAATAAGGTATCCGTAGCACGGATAGGAGCATATGCACGAGATTTTTTTTTGTTATAGCCAAAATTACCTGGACTAATAAAAATGGAAAATTTGAATACTACCTAATACTCAGAAAATGATTAATAATCGTAAAAATAATTTTCTATTTATTAGTAATCATATGAGTAATTATTTCAATGAAATTTGAAATTTTGAAAAATATATTTTTTATAAGTTAATATAACTATTTACATTTGTATCAAAGACTGTCTGATAAATTCTACTTTAAAAAAATCATTTTTTATAGTCTGGGTGATAATCTCGTTCGTCACGTGCTGGCTTGAAAAATGCACGGTTGTCATTTTGTCGCTAATTTTTATCATTTTTATTTGATTTTGCAGATATCTGGATGTTGTTTTAATTTTGATTAACATGCACATTTTTGTCATAATTTTATAATAATTCACCATTCCAAATTGATTTGGCTTGTTTTCAGCTTTCTTTTTTCACTTAACCATATTATACACTTCTATCGTTTAATTACGAGTCAAGAATAGACAATGAGAAATTTATTGAAAATTTTGAATTTGTTGGCTTTGTTTTTTACCTAACCATATTATACACTTCTATCGTTTAATTACGAGTCAAGAATGGATAATGAGAATTTATTGAAAATTTTGAATTTGTAGGCTTTGTTTTTCACTTAACCATATTACACACTTCTATCGTTTAATTACAAGTTAGCAATAGATAATGCAAAATTTATTGAAAATTTTGAATTTGTTGGCTTTGTTTTTTTTACCTAACCATATTATACACTTCTATCGTTTAATTACGAGTCAAGAATAGATAATGAGAAATTTATTGAAAATTTTGAATTTGTTGGCTTTGTTTTTTACCTAACCATATTATACACTTCTATCGTTTAATTACGAGTCAAGAATGGATAATGAGAATTTATTGAAAATTTTGAATTTGTAGGCTTTGTTTTTCACTTAACCATATTACACACTTCTATCGTTTAATTACAAGTTAGCAATAGATAATGCAAAATTTATTGAAAATTTTGAATTTGTTGGCTTTGTTTTTTACCTAACCATATTATACACTTCTATCGTTTAATTACGAGTCAAGAATAGATAATGAGAAATTTATTGAAAATTTTGAATTTGTTGGCTTTGTTTTTTACCTAACCATATTATACACTTCTATCGTTTAATTACGAGTCAAGAATGGATAATGAGAATTTATTGAAAATTTTGAATTTGTAGGCTTTGTTTTTCACTTAACCATATTACACACTTCTATCGTTTAATTACAAGTTAGCAATAGATAATGCAAAATTTATTGAAAATTTTGAATTTGTTGGCTTTGTTTTTTTACCTAACCATATTATATACTTCTATCGTTTAATTACGAGTTAGCAATAGATAATGAGAAATTTATTGAAAATTTTGAATTTGTTAGCTTTGTTTTGTACCTAACCATATTATACACTTCTATCGTTTAATTTCGAGTCAAGATAATGAGAAATTTATTGAAAATTTTGAATTATTGGCTTTGTTTTTTACTTAACCATATTATACACTTCTATCGTATAATTTCGAGTCAAGAGTAGATAATGAGAAATTTATTGAAAATTTTGAATTTTAATTGCAAGTCATTGATATTTAATTAAACATGCTACACTCTTGATATCAATTCTGAAAAAAATCAATAGTGAGTGAATATCAACAAATAATTTAGTGTTTAATAATTTAGTGTTTAAATAATTTAGTGTTTAATAGTTTAGTGTTTAAATAATTTAGAAAACAAATTTTTTTTAGCGAACTGCGAATTAGTCGAGACTTAATTTTCTGAAATACCAAAATTATGAATTTTGTTGACTTTCTAAAGAAAACAATGTTAATATAATTACAAGATTTTATTACGAGTTTTTGCTAATCTCGCTGCTATATATAGTTAATAGAAATTTATCAGTATTCTATTAACTAGTTTGCTGATTTCTAATTACCCATGGTTTTAGTATATACCCCGGAAATATTCTATTCTTTCATAAAGTTTGAGCTAAATACGGGAAACTATTAATATTTCATGAAAACAAAAATATTTTGCCTTCTATTATCACGTTTCTATAGAGCTAAAGTTGATAGAAAGCATTTGTACTTATCAATAATTCAAAACCAACGCTTTCATTCCTGAAATCACGACATATTATTGTTTTATGGCCTCAAATCAATATTTGCTCATTCATAATTATGGTCATATAGTTTTTTAACGCAAACTTCATTAAATCAAATTGTCATCTGTGTTTAACATTTTAGAACATGTAGAATTTTTATTATTGATTTTTTAGATCAATTGTCGAATAGTTAATAATATTCAGTAATTAACTGAAATCATTAATTTCAATTTAAACGTAAAATTAGTTTCATTTCTTTGAAAAGTTTATTTTCAAACTCAAGCTATTTTCAACAATTTTGTGAGTTATATATACCTGCATAAAACATTCATTATTTATTGCCATTGATGATTTTTTTTATTTACTTTTTAATCGTGAGGTAAGTATTATAGATTTGGATGTGTATTAAAATATAAAACTCTTAATTGTTTGTATAAAATCACTCTAAATGTATATATGTATAGGTGTTCCTGCATTTTTTTAAAGTGCATCTAAATGCTTTCTGATTATTCAATTTTATACTAATGCAAATTTCCCAAATATTTCATTGTCCAGGTTATGAACATATATATACATATGATTTCATTTAACAAAAGCAATATTTGTAATAAATTTCATCTCTCGACTCATATAGATATGTAGACTAATTAAGTCATTCACTTTTCATCAATTTTGCTCGTAAATTACTAGTAGTTAGTAGTAAAATACAAGTATGTTTTATATTTTAGTCGACAGCGAAGACGATGGAGAAATCTTTGGACAATACAGTCAGCTTTTCGGACAGCATAGCAATTATGGATAAAAGATTTACCATTATTTTGATGTCGATGTTCGATAAAATTAATGATAACAATGCTTCCACCAGTGGTGCCGATAAATTAATGAACATTGTGAACAGGTACGTGAAATTAATAATTAAAGAAGAAATTAATATTTAATATTTTCGCCAGATGTAAAATGTTTTCCTGCCCTGTAATATTTAGTACAATAAGTATTTCAATTCGCATTTGTGTAAAGAACAGTTAGCAGGTACAGACAATTCCTAATAGCACAGGTAAGCACCTGCCTTTATACAATAAAAGGATTGCGGTATGATCTAATAAGTTATAAAAGTATGTCTCACGGAAAAGATTCGTCATGGTATTATAAATTTAGCAGGAAAATGTAATTTGCAAAAATATTCCTCTTAGCCGTGAATCATCTATCTACAGGGGTTGAAATGGATAGGGTTGATATATATTTTTTCTTAATTACAATATTTATTACAACTGTTAAATAATTTAGTATCTAGTAATAATAATGAACAATAACAAACATTTAAATAAAAAGAGTACAAAATAAAGGATAGTATTTACATTAAAATGATATATAAAAGAATGATGAATAAAAGCAAATAATAATAATAATAAAACTAATAAGTAAAATAAATAAAATTTCTGAATAATAAAAATAATACTAGAAAAACAATAAAGTGGAATAAAAACAATAAGTGACAGATAATTATAAATATAACAAAATAACAATATTAGAAATAATAAGATAACTAGTGGGGTGTATGGCATCATGCCTTAAGGCAAATTGTTGGAACTTCCCTTACCATAACGAAATGTTCGAGGAATACTGAATGTTTTCAAATAGATTATTATTAATATTGTAACATTGTATAATATTTATAAGAATTATATAAACTGAATTGCAAAGTTGAAATTTTTTGTTTAAAGTATATTAGAACTATAGTCAGAATTAAAAATAGAATCTGAATTATTTTTGATATACAATTTCTTTTTTTTTTTTTAAGGAAAGGTTAAAACAATTTTTTTTTTTCAAAATCAATTATTTTGTTAAGACAAGCAGAAGGTTCTTTGAATCATTTAAACCGGACGCTTAGTTCTTTCGAAAATGTGCCATTTTTTGCACATTTAGCTCTGTATTTTGGAAATAGCTGGGCCTGCCTTTGCAAAAAACTGATCACCACTTCTCCCAATCATTACTAATTGAATGTTTTTTAGATCATTCAAATCGGATGCTCCGTTCCCTCAAAAACTCGATTTCTATTTTCTGCATTCTTTGCTCCGTATCTCTATAACGGCTGGACCTGCCTTTGCCAAAAACTAATCAGCACATCTCCCTATCAATAGGAATCGAATATTTTTTTAACCATTCAAATCGGTTTATCCGTGCGCCCGAAAACGTGTACGAAAAATTGTATTGTATGGTATGCCAAAATGTTCAGAAAGCTTCAAAACGTCGAGAAATGCAAAAATTTTCAATTTCGATTTTTGGGCGAAAACAATAACTTACCCTACGGGAAGTTAATAAAAGCAAATAATAATAATAACAAAATTAATAAGTAAAATAAATAAAATTTCTGAATAATAAAAATAATACTAGAAAAACAATAAAGTAGAATAAAAACAATAAGTGACAGATAATAATAAATATAACAAAATAGCAATATTAGAAATAATAAGATAATAATATTAATATTAGCGTTTACAAATGAGATCATTGGGAATTTTTCGTTTTACAGAGGCAAAATATAACTTTTGATTTTGATTATGGTCATTATATGCGCTAAAATGATTTTTAATAAATATTGGAACCAAATTTATATTATATAAATAATTATACAATATAAAGTACATATCTGCCAATGATCTGATCATTGATTATCAAACATATCAAATGATAATAGATATCAAATTTATAGGCAAATTTTATTGTTGTTATATTAAATTCATGAGGCATTGTTCAAATCTGATAAATATTTTGGTAATGGAGTATCTATTTAAACTAATTCAAAAAAGTATATATATATATATATATATATATATATATATATATATATATTAATTTGATATCATATCTATATAAAATGGATATCTGATTTTAAAAACTTGCTTTGGTATATGAAATTAAAAATGATTATTGGGTGAGACATTATATATATATATATATATATATATATATATATATATATATTTATATTTATTTATTTATATAAGTAAATAATTAGATGCAATATTCATAATTTGATATAGTTGACTATTCAATATATATTTATATACATTTCATTGTTGGCATTATTTACAGCTGACAACTATTTTGATCATGTAATAACTGTAAATTTATTCAAAAAAAAAAAAAAAAAATTAAATTTGATATATCTATTTATTTCCACTGTTTTGCAGATATCCATTTGCAATGAACACAAAACAATTCCAAAAGTTGTTTTTATAATACGTAATACATTGACCAGACTGTGTTTACTAACTGTATATGAGCAGGCTATAAATATTAGAAGTTAGAAGACTAAATGTTGTAAATTCGATTTTATTTTTTTTCAGATTTCATTCCAATTCATATTACAGTGAACAACGAGAAAAAATGTATGCTGGATTTTTGGATACAGCTTCAGAATCTTCCATTTCCAATAGTAAAAGTGTGCCAAAACCCGAGCAGACTGTCAAATAAAAAAATAATATTAGTTTTAAAATTAATTAACATTTTTCAAGATATATCAGAATAATTGTTAGTCTAATAAAGCGTTGCCATAATATATAAGATGCCATAATGTTGGAAGTGCTTGTTAATGTCATGTTATTAAAAATCACTATTTATTATATCCGTTATTTATTATCCATTTCTATCACGTTTGGTTGAAAATTAGATAATAATATTTGTTAGCATATATAATATTAAAATTGAATATTTCGTGTTAATTTAACTATTTAACAAAAATAAATTATGAATCTGACAAATGCATTTTTCTTCAAAACCATAAAATCTAGGTGTATTTACTAAATTTTACTATTTTCAGCATTTATTAAAAATTATCTAATTATTTACACAACAACTTGTGTATATACAATTCGATAGTAATTTTTATCAAACACAAAACATATTAGATTGGATATATTATTAATAAGGTTATTACCTAATTAATATTTATTAACATCAATGTTAATATGCAATTTTTTGTCTCATATGTATTATTTGAGAGTCAGACTTACATATTAATTAATTAACAATGTTGATAAGTTTAATTTCAATCGTTATATAATAAATAAAAACTTTAATATATAATATTTATTAATAAAATTATATTCAAGTAGGAAACAATACTTGTAAATGTACTTTCAATAAAAATCTAATATTGCTTGAATAATTAACTAAATCATTAACAAATCTCGGTTCAAATTATAAATTATGCCGGCTCAATTAAGTAATATTTATGAAATTATATTATCAAATAAGAAAAAGATTCGTCAACGTACTTTTGATAGAAATATAATATTGTTTGACAAATTAATTAAAACATTATCTAGAAAATAAATTATAATGGCTCAAATTAATAAATATTATTAATGAAATTTTATGAAATAAGAAAAATATTCGTCAACGTACTTTTAATAGAAATGTAATATTATTTGACAAATTAATTAAACCATTCATTAACATATTTTGAAAACTCTTTCATCAGTTAAATTACATAAACAAATTAAATATTTGATCCTAGTGATTTTCTGCAACTGCATACAGAATACAAATTTAAACAGCTCTCATATTTTCAATGAAATCTTTCTATAAAAATAATTTGCTAATGTAATAAATAATTAGTACTTAATAATATTAATTTAAAGTATGCAGTTAGTTTTAAATAAAAATTAGAATATGATGATATATTATTTTGTAAAATAGTATTGTAAAATTAAAATTTATATTATTATTTATGAATGGCTAATTTAAAAATATGAGACTATTTATAATATTTGTGAGTAAAATAAATAAATACAAATTATTTCCTCGATACATACGAAGCAACTCCATATATTTCTTTAATCTAGGCGAAACTCGATTTCCATCTATAATAATATTAAAATTAAATAATTTTAACTGAGGAATGACTTGTAAATGTAAATATCTTCCCTCTCTTTTACCTGACCTTAACAGCCGAACCCAAACCGAACCTCGCCGAGCGGCCCTTGCAAGGGTTTAAAAGGCGACCCATCCTCTGCCAAAAATCATTGTTAGTTCAAGCTTTGCCGAATTGTAATATCACTCCTTATATAAAATTGTTATTAAGTGCTCTTTTTCTCAAGTGAAGTTAAAATACTTGTGATACAAAATGGGTAAGGAAAAGATCCATATCAACATTGTCGTCATCGGCCACGTAGATTCTGGAAAATCGACTACTACTGGACATTTGATCTACAAATGCGGCGGTATCGATAAGAGAGCTATCGAAAAATTCGAGAAGGAAGCCCAGGAAATGGGCAAAGGCTCCTTCAAATATGCGTGGGTTTTGGATAAATTGAAGGCTGAGCGCGAACGTGGTATTACAATCGACATTGCTTTGTGGAAGTTCGAAACTGCCAAGTATTACGTTACCATCATCGATGCTCCCGGACATCGTGATTTCATTAAGAACATGATCACTGGTAAGTAATAATAATATATTGAAATACATTTTTTGGCATTAGCATTTGATATGAATCAATTTACGAGACCATATTACGTAATTTTGTCGCGTGGGTGCACGTGGTCGTGTTTATTTACATTCAAAGATTTTGTCTATACAATGCTTATTTATTTATAAATATAATTATAATTTAATATACTATATATTAAAATAATTTTTCCATTACAGGAACATCTCAAGCCGATTGCGCCGTACTCATCGTAGCCGCCGGTACCGGTGAGTTCGAAGCCGGTATCTCGAAGAACGGCCAAACCCGCGAACATGCGTTATTGGCGTTCACCTTGGGTGTAAAACAATTAATTGTTGGCGTCAACAAGATGGACTCTACTGAACCACCTTACAGCGAATCTCGATTTGAAGAAATCAAGAAAGAAGTATGCTCGTACATCAAGAAGATCGGTTATAATCCAAATACTGTTGCGTTTGTACCAATTTCTGGATGGCACGGGGACAACATGTTGGAACCATCCACCAAGATGCCATGGTTCAAGGTAATAAGATGAATAATTGAATTATATATTTAATTTTTATGCGCATTAGATATTTGATTTTTAATGAATTTCTCTTTTTATAGGGATGGCACATTGACCGCAAAGAAGGCAAGGTTGATGGCAAGTGCTTGATTGAAGCCTTAGATGCTATCTTACCACCCTCAAGACCAACAGACAAGCCACTCCGTCTTCCTTTGCAAGATGTATACAAGATCGGCGGTATTGGAACAGTCCCAGTAGGACGTGTCGAAACCGGCATTCTCAAACCAGGTAAATATTCATTTAATAAACCTTATTTTTAATTTGTGTTAAATTAACGTTAATAATGTTAATATTATTTCCAAAGGTACTGTAGTAGTTTTCGCACCAGCTAACATAACTACTGAAGTAAAATCCGTCGAAATGCATCACGAAGCCCTAACTGAAGCCGTACCCGGAGACAACGTTGGCTTCAACGTTAAGAACGTCTCCGTCAAGGAATTAAGACGTGGTTATGTTGCCGGAGACTCCAAAGCCAATCCACCAAAGGGAGCTGCAGACTTTACTGCTCAGGTAAATAAAAAAACTCTACATTATTATAACAAATATTTTAATTTCGATGTATTTATATTCATGTATTTTTTCCCTCAGGTTATCGTTTTGAACCATCCAGGTCAAATTTCAAACGGTTATACTCCAGTATTGGATTGCCACACCGCTCACATCGCCTGCAAATTCGCTGAAATTAAACAGAAGGTCGACAGACGTACTGGTAAAGCTACTGAAGAAAACCCCAAATCCATCAAGTCCGGGGATGCTGCAATCGTTAACTTGATTCCATCCAAGCCTATGTGCGTGGAATCATTCCAAGTAAGTAAAATTCAACATTACGACAAATGTGATACATATATATTTTATATATGTACTATAATTTGATTTTTTCTTTAGGAATTTCCTCCCTTGGGTCGTTTTGCAGTCCGCGACATGAGACAAACCGTTGCTGTGGGAGTAATTAAAAGCGTTGTGCACAAGGAAGCAACTGCCGGCAAAGTTACAAAAGCCGCAGAAAAAGCCACCAAAGCCAAGAAGTAATTTCTTTAAAATTTATTATGAAGATAATTTTAAGTTTAATTTTAATGAGAATTCTTAAATTATTTTTGTAAAACAATTATATTAATTACTCTTACAATTGCAGAATGGTTGTGAGCCTTTATATGGTAACTTTTAGAAAGTATTTTTTGTGATTTTAGAAGTGTATATATTTTGTAAATAAAAATTTAAATAATAATTTTGATTGTATACTTCAAATCAAAACTTTATTACAGAATTTTGCATTTTTACAGGGATAAAACTTTGATAATTAATACTGATATATCTATTTTCAAATCTTAAACTAAAATCTAAATTAAATATATTTCAAAGTATAAAATATTAACAATAATTATAATGTATGTCCTTTAATTTTAACATTGATTAAAAATTTATTTATTTAAACATTAATTAAATTATATAAGTATTAACAATTGTTTATAAATCAGAATGTAAAATTAAACTTCTCTTTAGTTATTAAATTATCTATACATCATTACATCAGGACTTTGGTACATGCACATATAGGCATCGCACATTAATCTCTTAGCATGTTCAGGTAATTGCTTGTCGTTAGGGTACTGCTCGTGCAGCATACGTGCCCCTTCATCAGATAACCATTCCGGCAAATCCGGGACACTCACCATCTCAGGTATATTGTAGCCATTTTGCTCACCTGATTATTTATAATCAATTTGAATATAGTTATTATTTTATTTTCTTGAAGTAGGAGAAGCAAACAGTTACCTTTTCGGTCAGCCATCGAGTCAAAAAAGCACCAAGGCACATTGTGGCCAGACCCGGCTTTCACAAATGTCACATAATGAGATGTTTCAATACAAACTACTGCAAATAATTCCATATATAGTCTAGGAACCGGACAATGTTCAGCCATTATGGAAAAATCTATTGGAACTGACAAGAGCTTGGCCTAAAAAAGGTAAGATGCTCTTATATTTAACATAATTTTACTGATTATTAATTTTTTGTGATAAATACAAAGGCAATGATAAATAAATAAAATTTATTAAAAACATTAGAATAGCTATGAACGTTTACTTTATGATTTGCCCTCTTGGCATGGGAATGTACAGTATCGAGACAGGGTTTGCAAAATGCAGTACTTTCCAACCCCATTCCACATTGTCCAAAGCAATCTTTGCATTCATAATGCGCAAGTTTTCCACACACTGTACACTGTCGAGGTGCTGTTCATGTATCGAAAACAAAAATATTAATTAAATCACAAATTACCAGAAAATATCATTACTTAATTAAGTAACTCACAATCTTCTATTATATCTGTTACGTCTAGCAATTGTGAAGGTAATATTCTAGGATACATTTTATACGATTTACCAAACCTCGGCATTTGTATTATTAAGCAAGATGGCACTTGTTTCAATTTAATATCAGATGTGAGAAAGCTCTGTTCAAATAACTGCTGTACTGATGGTAGCAAGAGTCTTTCATCCTTTTCTACAAACAACTGATAATAAAATGCTTCTTGTCCAGAATTCAGTTTTAAAAATGGATCGGCATTCAAAATTTGTGATAGTAAGCAATTTAAAAATTCTTCAGGATCCTAAGATGCAAGAATGATATTATTTTTTGGTTTTATGAAGTTGATTAATACAAATGTGCTACCTTTTCTTCACATGTTAGGCCAGTAACGGATGATAATTTCTCTAATAATTTTCTTAATTTCATAACTTTATCAGCCCGCACAAATAAATTTTTTCGTAAAGGATTTACAATTTCTTCACGTAAAACTGTTTGTACTTCTTCATAGTGATCAGAGTCCTGTGACAATTATAACTTTATGCAATTGCAATTTAAAGCATTTATAAAATAAAATAGTATTAAACTTCAAAAATTCACCTGATGTCCTTTAGGCCGAAATAACAAAGAATCAAATACACTTGTGAATGTAAACATTGAAAAAAGTGTTGCATCTAAATAACAGGAATTGTGATGTCCTTGTATGCCTTTGAATTTTCCACATACAGATTCTAAATCTGAAGTTTTGCTCAAAGGTGCTATAGATCCTGGCACCGCAAGACACTCAACCTATTAATAAATACATTTTTGCTTGAAAAAGCATTCTGAATTAATTTGAATAACAAAGAAATATAAATTACATTTCCAAAGAGTCGAGAATCAAGATCTTCAAAAGTTCTTGAATGCCCAGGCTGAAGAGATCGTTTTTGATCGACAAACCTTTCATCTGGTTGACATTGTTCAAAAGGATAAA